CCTTGGGGAAAGAGCCCGCTGGGCCCTGTTCCATCCGGCCACTGTGGCTCTTGCATCCCAGCCCGTCACTGCGCGCCTATTGCCTCCCCACCCAGAAGCCCCCAGCCCCCCCTTTGGGGACTGAGACAACTCCCGCTAGGCAAGAGAAATGGGCAAGAGCAGGACCCAGGCATGTGCCCCCCCCCCCGACACGCAGGTGCCCATCCAGGCCAGAGGGTAGCGCCTGGGGGAACACAAGCCCCCCCCCCCTTCCCTGTCCTCCTGAAGGCTTCCCCAGGGCCAGGAGGAGAGGACGGGTGAGGGGTCAGGGGGATGTTTACAATCTGGGACGCTCAGGAAAAAGCCCCCCCCCTTCTTTGGAGCGCATTTCCTTCAAAACAGCCCAGCCTGCCTGAGTGGTGAAATATGACCAGCCCTGCCGGAGGAGGAGGAGGAGGAGGAGGAGGAGGAGGGGTGGGGGAAGCGGCTGGGCTCCCTCCCAGCACCTCTGGAGCCTGAAGGTGAGGTGGAGCTGGGCTGATGGGCAGGTTCCTGCTCTGCCCTTTGGCTTCCTCATCTCCTCCTGGCACGGAGCCCTGGCTCAAATTACACCCCCCCCTCAATCACCGCCCCTGCAGGATGCATTTCTAGGAAGCCCCTCAGGTCTCCAGTGGGAAGCGGGAGGGGCTGTTGCACGCTAATAGCCTTTAGCAACTTATAATTGGCATTTTCCTCATAGCCTGTAGCTCCAGGGAGAGAATGCCCCCCCCTGCCTGGGAATGCTAAACGAGGGGGGCTTGCAAAGACATGCCAGACCCTGATAGTGGAGAATGCAGCCATTGCAGGGGGCCTGAAGGCAGCATGCGAGTACAGCTGTGCCTGCAGCTGACCAGCCCCAGAGCCTCTTTTCTCTTCGGCCCTTCAGCCACCAGAGGCTGTGGGCACGTGGATCCCCCCCCCACCCGCAGGAGGACCCCAGAGCTCTTGCATGCTGGGAAGGCCTGGGCAACTCCTGTCCATTTAGCAGAAATCTCTTCCCTGGAGCGGCAGGCAAAGGCTTGGAAGAAAAAGAAGAGTTTGAAAAATGGCTTTTAGGCACAGGGGCCAAAGTAAGTGTGGACTTGGAGAGGCCGGCTGCCTTGGACACTGCTGAGGTCAAGCAAGCAGTGCAGCCTGGGACTCCAGTCGGATCCTCCTAGGAGCAACTTTGGCCAGGGAAGAAAACAGGAAGCTGGACCAGTCCTCACCCCCAACCCTCTCAGCTCCTGGGAGGCTGGAAGTGAAGCTGCAGCACGCACGGGGGGGGGGGGTACCAGTGGGTCTCACCCTGCAGGGAGGGAGGCTATTTTCAGCCCCCCCCCCCCAGTCCTTCTTGGGAAGGAGCCTCGAGAGGCTTCCCGTGCATAGAGGGCCTTGAGGGCAGGAATGAAGCCTTCCTGGCCAAGAGGGAAACGCTGCGGAGGAACCCATGGCTGACGTCAGATGGGGGGGCATCCGGGTGTGGGCCCCAGAGGACAGGGAGGAGAGACGGGGGCCTTTGCCAACTGCACCCCAGGCCGTGACCCCCGGCTCGGCTCTTCCAGACCCGCTTTGGCCAAGGAGCTGACCAGCTTTCCTGAGGCTCCTTCCGCAGGCTCTGCTTTCCCATAGGGGCAGGGCAGGGCAGGGGNAGGGGGGCTTGCAAAGACATGCCAGACCCTGATAGTGGAGAATGCAGCCATTGCAGGGGGCCTGAAGGCAGCATGCGAGTACAGCTGTGCCTGCAGCTGACCAGCCCCAGAGCCTCTTTTCTCTTCGGCCCTTCAGCCACCAGAGGCTGTGGGCACGTGGATCCCCCCCCCACCCGCAGGAGGACCCCAGAGCTCTTGCATGCTGGGAAGGCCTGGGCAACTCCTGTCCATTTAGCAGAAATCTCTTCCCTGGAGCGGCAGGCAAAGGCTTGGAAGAAAAAGAAGAGTTTGAAAAATGGCTTTTAGGCACAGGGGCCAAAGTAAGTGTGGACTTGGAGAGGCCGGCTGCCTTGGACACTGCTGAGGTCAAGCAAGCAGTGCAGCCTGGGACTCCAGTCGGATCCTCCTAGGAGCAACTTTGGCCAGGGAAGAAAACAGGAAGCTGGACCAGTCCTCACCCCCAACCCTCTCAGCTCCTGGGAGGCTGGAAGTGAAGCTGCAGCACGCACGGGGGGGGGGGGTACCAGTGGGTCTCACCCTGCAGGGAGGGAGGCTATTTTCAGCCCCCCCCCCCCAGTCCTTCTTGGGAAGGAGCCTCGAGAGGCTTCCCGTGCATAGAGGGCCTTGAGGGCAGGAATGAAGCCTTCCTGGCCAAGAGGGAAACGCTGCGGAGGAACCCATGGCTGACGTCAGATGGGGGGGCATCCGGGTGTGGGCCCCAGAGGACAGGGAGGAGAGACGGGGGCCTTTGCCAACTGCACCCCAGGCCGTGACCCCCGGCTCGGCTCTTCCAGACCCGCTTTGGCCAAGGAGCTGACCAGCTTTCCTGAGGCTCCTTCCGCAGGCTCTGCTTTCCCATAGGGGCAGGGCAGGGCAGGGGTAGGGTCTGGGCTGGGGGTGAGATCTCTCCACCAGGCGGGGCTTCCTGCTTGTTTTCGGGCTCGGTTTCCCCAGAGCCCCCTGAAGCCTCCTCTTTGCCAAGCGCTGCCACACAGCGGCTCCTCTCTCCAGGCTCCATAGCAGCCGGGCTGGCACCGTCTCTTCTGCTGGGGGTGCCACGGTGGCCGTAGGGCAAAGCAGCCCCCTCTGCCCCCCTCCAACCTTCCCACTCTGGCTCGGGGCCGCCTGCGCACCGCGGCTCCTCCTGGGCCAGGCAGGGCTGCTTCCTCCTCCCGCAAAGGCTTCCCCTGGCCGTGGCTGTGCGGCGCTGCTGAACCCTCCGCTTGACCCCACGGCCGGCCGCAGAGCGAGGCAGCCCCGCATTCACGCACGGAGATCGCGCAAGGAGCTTCCCCGACGGGGCGCCGCGCGTCGTCCGCCCGGTCCCCGGGGCACCAAATCCCGCTGCTACAGCGACACCCAGCGGCAGAACCGGCGCGCTGCATAGGGCCGGCCAAGGCCAAGCAGGCGTCGCTTCGGATGGGACCGTCGGGCCCATCAGGCACTGCCGAGCCTGAGGCGTTGTGCCTGGGGGCCGCTGAGCCGCCCCAGAAACCCCGGCTGCCCTGCAGGGGAAAAGGCGCGGCCGATGGCTTCACGCGCCCCCTGGAGCCCCTCCGACGCCCCCCGCCCTCCAAATCGGCTGGGGTGGAGTTTGCTTCGGTTCGCGGTGCGAATGCAGCCAACAGGCGAGGGGGGAGGCCAGGCCGGACCACCGGTCCCATCAGCCGCGGCCCTGGAGCTGCAGCCCGACTGGCGAGCCCATCACTCCCTGCCTGGAGCTGCAGCCCGACGGTCTCCGGCCCCTTTAAGGGACCAGCGGGACCAGCCTCCTCAGGGGCGGGGCCAGGGTGCCGAGGTTACGCTCGCGCAGGCGTAAAGCGCAGGCCGCCCGGAGGCGCGCCCCCTGCCGTCCGCCCCCTGGAACCTCCCGGAAGGCGCGGCGTCGGCACTGCACGTGGCCCGGTGGAGATGCGGGCGCCCGGCGGGAAGGAGGCCGCGGAGGCGGGTGGGGCTCGGGGGCCGGGGAGGGGGG